GGGCAATGGAACAGGGAGAGAAATGTACGAGTTTCTTCTTTAAGAAATGCAAGGCAGGAGACAACACACTTAGGGAATTGGTGAGTCCGGTCAGAGGCAGGCAGGCAACGACAGAGGGTATGATAGAGATAGCGGAGGAGTACTATGGGGAGTTGTATGGTGTTGTATATGTTGGTTATCAAAATTTGTTATGTTGTATGCGTGCGTGGGTGAAATTATTATGTTGTATATGTGGGTTATGAATATTCAGTGAAAATAATAATAATTAAATGAAATTTGGCCAAATGTGTAATTATCCGGGAATATGTTAATTTATGTAATTATGCACATTTTAATTATGCCAATTCGAGAGGTAATCGTATTAATTATGCGAGTGGGTGTAATTATGATAATGCAAGTCGTTATGATAACCAGACCCCGCCTCGGTGATGAGGGTGGGTTATCGATCGGAATAAGGCAATTAATCGTATGCAGTTATGCAGGTGTGGTGTAAGTATGCAAGATTAACTTAGATTAACTCGGCATCGTTGTCTAGGTTCGTCTCATTCTCGCTTTAACATTCCCAGAGTGTGTATTCGTGGTTATATTTTAGGTCCCCGGTTCACCCCGTTATCGCTTTAACATTTACTGAGTATGTATTAGTGTGTTTATTAAGGTCACCAAGTTCAGATCTCAACGCAGAAGTAGATCTTATGCATAGATTTCAGGAAAGAATCACACAACCACTTCTGTATTGATCAATTTATTACTAATTCAACCTTAACTATGATATAGTATGCGAACTCTCAATCCCGGAACGTCAACACGGCATCAATACAGTATCATCAACGATTGTCTGATTTCACTTTGACAACGGCACATGGATCCCGCATAACGCGATGGTTGTTAGTGAGAGAGAGAGTCGTTAAAATATGCAAATACTATGCTAAGAAAACCTTAACGTTAATGAATGATTATACTCAATATTGTTCACGCAGTACCGCACTCCTTATTGATCATACGCAACCCTTATCACGTTGTTAACACCTTGGGTCACGGGACAGTTGAATATTCTGTAGAGGATGCGAGTACGTGCGGCGATTATGACTGAAAGATACTTGAAAGATTATACGGCGATAAAAAAAACACAATCAAAAACAGTTATTATTCTTAAAGGCACCAATCTCAACAGATACATCGGCAGGTTATCTGACAACAGAACGGCTCGGAGTAAGGGCCTGCGACGGTGCTCCTTTTCCGAAGATCGTTATCTTATACCAAGTTTACTAATTGGGGACCAGATCACCTGATAAGGATCCGGTGGGCCACCACTCCCCACGTGAGCGTGGCTCGGCGGAAGGAGGTGCCAAGAATCAGTTCGTATTGATGGATCTGTTGGGAATTTATGCGATTAAGAGTACAGCCCACTAAATATTAAAGATAAAAATTACGAATACTTTATAAACGACGGATGGCCATCACTCGGTCTCGTTGTGATGCCTTCCCAGCCACGGATGGCTTATGGGTTCGAGTGTGTTTGAGTGGTAAGAGTTGTCTTGAATAGTCAGTGTTCGGAGTCGATTCTTTATGTCAAACAGACGCCTGGTGGTCGTGTGGTGAGGGGGCGGTGCGCGTCATACGTATCAGTCGCTCCCCTGTCACCGTGGTGAACTGGTTCGGATGCCCGTTGATACGCTGTCGCAGTTCGGAACCCGGTCGGTAGGTGGCGCCCACAACTCGCTCGCAGCGCGCAGCGCTGGGTCGTCGCCAAACTGCGATGCTCACCACTCCGGCGGCAGCAGAGACCTCCGACTCGGCAGAGGTTGACCCACGCAGGCCGAGTTGAGCTGTCAAGCGGGTCTTGCCCGCCTGCAGAGGAGATGGGGAGCCGCTTGAGTCGAGCCCCGAGAGCCGGCTTTGGCAAGCCGATCGAACTCGGCTGAGTCCCAGACGAGCTGAAGATGAGTCGAGCCGACCCGCTGGTCGCAGCTCGCTCCTGAGCCGACCCTCCCAGTCGAGCTCGCTCCTGAGTCGACCCGCTGGTCGCACTCGCTCCTGAGCCGACCCGCTGGTCGCACTCCTGAGTGAACCCGCTGGTCGCACTAGTTTCCAATGCTCAGGATCCTTTCCTTTATGCCGAAAAATCCCCCTGGATCCCGCCCACAAGGCGGGGCTTCTTCCGATTTTTGCTGTGTCAGGATCTGTCCGTAGACAGGTGTGTCCATGTGTGTGTCCGTACGTCCGTATGTCCTTGTGTGCATCACTCACGGTATATTCTGTTGTCACACTCCCTCCATAAAACCCACGAGCAAACAATCAGATGTTACAAATTGCCTCGAAGTCGTCTCTCTGTCTGGGTGCAATATTATCTCTTGTCTGGCCTTCTTCATGAACCCAAAACACAGACGTTACAAATCGTCTCATAGGCGTCTTTGTTCATGTTGCACAACCTGGAGGGAGGGGCAACACTCTCTCCGACCCGGCGCACAAAGAAATGGTTAAAAAGTTTTAAGTTAACATTTGTCCCTTACTATTTCACAGTTATGATTCTGTATGTAACCTAAGGTCTGTCGTTTCCCATCGTGGTGCTTGACTCAAGTGGAGGTGTTTCCCCGAGCGTATACACACTCCTATCCCGCGCTGCGGGGATACAAAGACGGCCGGGATCTCCCTTTCTCTCCGACCCTGGGTTTAACATCGTTTTTTTTAATTATGTATTTATATTCGACCTGGTGGTGATTCATCCCGTTATCCTGGCTTTTCCATAAGTTTTACTTTTGTCTTTTCATGCATATGCTTATTACTATTAATTTATTTCCGATATCTTAGGTTAAGGGGTAAGTTTCTTGATCCTAGGAATTCGTATTCCTTGGTGCCTGCATGGTTATATAAGCGGAATATAGTTTACGGTGAATAGCGTTAACATTGATGTTATGTGCGATATTATGTATTGTGATGTCTTTAACTTAACTTGTTTGTCAGAGCTTTACTGACACGAAGTTGCATTTCATAGCCCCGCAGTCTTTGCCCCACCCTATCTCTGCTCGCCGTGGTTGTTGCCGTCCAGCTGACGCCGTTAATTCAAGGCCTCATTAATTTCCGTCACTCCTTGTAGGTGAGGGCGGTTGAACCTTGGAGTCAGTTCTGGTTTTTGTCTGCCTGCTTCTTCTTGTGTCCCCTGACCCCGGGAGTTATTATTCCTACTTTATGGCCTGTCGAAGCCCGACTCGCTGTTGCTGGCTGGTGTTGTTCCCGGCTTTTTGCTTACGTTTGCAGTTCGCCGTGCTCTTATTTTCCTTCCCTCTTCAACCTTATATCGACTATTCGCTCCTGTCTGGGTGCGATTCAATTTTGACTTAGGAAGGTTCTGATTGTCATATGCTTCGGGTCGAGTTGTATAGAAAGTATTAAAGTATGGAAATAACATTTCATTGACTTAATGATGGTGATGGTTCAGTAGGCGTAACTTGTGGCCTGGTTTAATTGGAGTGGGTGTGAATATCAATAACTTTAGCCTACCCTGTTGTTAAATTCCGACTTTAACGTTACTTTAATAGCAATACAGAATAATTGAGCTTTTTGTCTTAACTAGGCGAACGCGAACTTCTGGTGACCCCCGCAGCCTTGTTGTTCAGCTGGGTCTGCCTCCTTGAGAGATATACACCACTCTTATTTTCGTCTCACTGTGGCCATCCAACCTTCTGCTCTGGGAGTGTTATTCTTAATTTCAGGTCAAAGGCCCCCTCACGTTCAGACGTGCAGGGTTGTTTAAATCAGCTCCCTCCCCTGTGCACGTGTTCCAACTAGCTCGGAATCCCTAAACACACAATCAGTGATGATTCCTGGCTTTCTGTGGTTGTGATTTAGACAAAGGCGCCTCTGCTTTCTTCCATTGCCTTTGAGTCGACACTGCCCTATTATTTGCCCATGTGCTGAGGTCATAGAATTCGTTTTGACTTCAGTAATATTAACATTCAGTATTGGATTAGCAAATGGGCAATGGTTCATTGATGTAGCTCGCAGCCTGGTCTCCAATTTGAGCGAGCGCGAGGATCGATAATTTAGCCTACTCTGTTGTTGAATTTCGAATTTTGACGTTACTTTAAAACCATGCAGGATGGTTGGGCTTTTTGCCTTAACTATGTCTGGCTGACACTCCCACTGTCTCTGCCGCCTGCACGGGTGACATGTGCCCGTTCATCAGGCCTTATCTTTCCTTGAAGCAAGGTTGCAAATTCTGCCATCCTAGCCCTCCTCCAGTTCATTACTTAACAACACCTGGTGTTTTGCAGTTTGCTGCGCTTTGGTGTGTTTCATTCATTAAAAAAACAAGTAAAAAGATAATATATAAAAATATCGTCAAATATTATTAATCTCAATTTTGGAAGAAGGGTTAAGATACAACATTCCGCCCTTTTAAAAATGACCAGTGGTCAAATGGCCACGGGTTATTTTTAAAAAAATGTATACCCTTCTTCCATCATGAACCATCGATTGTCCTCAAGTTTTGCTGCTATTCCTTACAACGCGCGCGTATGTGTCACAACTTAACACGGTTATATGTGACAAGAGAGAGGAAAAAAAAAAAAAAAAGAAAAAGAAAAATTCTAAAGGAAGGTAAAACGATAAGGGAGGGAAAAATTATTCTATTGACTACGTGTTATAGGAGATATCGTTAAAAAGATAGTCTCTACGGTTATTCTTGGGTGGCATCATCAGGCCTTGGCTCTATCCCTGTTCCTGGGCTCGAATGGTAGGTGGCTTGTGCCTGCGATTAGTCTTTTAAGTTCGGCATTCATTTTGGCCACATGGTATGTTAAGGTTAGAATAGCCAGGACTAGTATGATCATCCCTGTTGCCCCTGTGATTCCCATCCCCATCTGTTGATTTCGCTGATATCCAGCCACTTCGGTCGCCCAAGTAAGATCTGTTATGTTAATCTCTGATTCGCTGAGGGATAATTTCACCATATGGAATTCTTTACTGTTCAACAAGTTGGACAGAGTGCTGCTTATCTCAAACTATTGGCCTCGGAATGTGTCTACTATTTCTACCTCCGCTTGGTGTAGGCTTTTGTCTAGGTTATATAATACCTTGTCCCCTATGCGTACGAATGTTCCTCTTGGTATTGTGACCAGTGCGACGTGGCTTGGAATCGGAACTTCCATAGTTATGGAGTGTTGATCGGTGGAAACAATTGCCGTGTCTAGAGGGGTGCTAATCAACCACTGGGCATTAGCTATCATGGCCACTGTTCCGGTTCTTTCTTTGGGTTTACTTAGCTTAAACTTGCAAGTTTCCTTGGAGCTTAGGTTTGACAGACCACACATTAGTTCTGCTGTATTGGTCAGAAATGGTTCCCCTGGGCAGAGCCAATGAACCTCTTTCATTATTTGACACAGGTTTAGGTCAGGCACCAGGTACTTAAGGGGGCCTTCTTCCTGGTAGGCCACCACTAAGGGAGTTTCCATCTTGGAGTAAATGTCGTTATTCCATGTACCCACGTTCAATACTGTCCGCAATCGAAATACATTTCCGGGTTTGACCAGGGGTAAATTTAGCAAAAATGCCAGCTGTCTAGTTTGGGGGTCCACATGTATGGGTGTGGCTGTACCCATGTTGAAGGCAATTTGTACTTGAGTTGGACTGATTGTTTCCGGGGATGCTGCTTGTAGCACATCTTTTATCAGTGTTGGAGTTACCAGATATGACGGAATTTGTCCTTGTATAAGATCACTGACGCTGCCGCTGATGCTACGCAACAAGTCTTGGATCACCCACTGAATTGGCTCTCGAATACTCTCTTCTTCGTATAGACCTCGGATTGCAGAACTCAATTCTTGGAATGTTAAGTTAATCATGATAGAATGTAGGTTTACGAGAACCACGGTGTCTCGGAGGGTGGATCCCATTTCGACCAGATTCTTTTGTTGGTGTTGTATTTGCTGATGGATCTGATGCATATCGAGCTGTAAATTCTCGATACCTTGCGTGAGGTGTCCAATCTTTACGGCGTTGGATATGGATACTCCTAGTGTGATTAAGGAGCTAAAACCGGATAGTATTCCAAAGACCCCTCCCAGGCCGATAGACCTCTTGGAACGTGTTAGGTTGACAGTGGTGGGGGGAAGTATCATGGTTCTTTGTAATTGCTTCAGGATCGTTCCGATATTCTGTTCACTATATCTTAGGAAGTCATAATACCATATTCGGGTTGCTTGGGTGGCTTGGGGTGGTAACTTCCCGAAGTGCTTCTTTACCACCAAGGCAGGTTCCAAGGAGACATAGACTTGTTGGGTTACTATTTTCGTTTCGGTTACTAGGAAGCTGGAGGAGTCTCTCAGCATCACCCCGGATTCTGGTCCTGGCTTGATCAGCTCTTGGCTCCCTTCTAGCTTGGCAAGGTACGTTAGCAGGAGCGTGAGCAGGAGGGCTGCCATTCCCTGGAAAACAGGTTACATATTATTGTAGTGTGATAAGCCCATTAGTTTAGTTCCCCCCCCCCTTTTCCACCTTTATTCCTCATCTTGCTCCACCAGCACAGGGTACGGTTTGATTTGGTTGATGTGCACCCACTTGTATTGCTGCTCTCTTCCTGTCTTTGTGATTTTTAGCTGATATACGACTGGGGACATTTTGTCAACAACCTCGTGTGGTCCTGTCCAGGAAGGCAGGAATTTCCTGCACTTCTGTTTCCTTTTCTCGTAATTGAGGTACCACACCTGGTCTCCTAGCTGGTATTCTGCGTGGCTGGCTTTTTGGTCATAGTATGCTTTGCTCCCCTGAGCCTCTACTTGCAACTGGTCCCTGACCATAGCGAATGTGCTCTGTAGGTGACTATTGAGTCCCGTCAGGTATTCAGTTGGCGTCATTGCCGTCGGGGTCTCGTCCTCCGCTGGGACATATAACAGGTGTACTGGGAGAGTCATTAGCCTCCCTGTCATGATCTCGAAGGGTGTCCTGCCTGTAGCTCGGTTGGGTGTGGCTCGCATGGCCATCAAGACTAGGGGTAGTTTCGTATCCCAGTCGCGGCCCGTGGTAGACACATATTTCTTTAGGAGGCTCACGATGGTCCTGTTGGCTCTTTCCACCTGTCCTGAGGATTGTGGATGGTATGCGACATGTAATTGTCTTTTTACTCCCAACATCTTCCACACTTCTGTGATGACCTCGGCTGTGAAGTGGCTTCCTTTGTCTGAATCGATCGTTGACGGTAGGCCCCATCTACTGAATATTTGGTTGATCAGTAGGATAGCGGTCGTTTCCGCGGTGTTGTTGGGTGCTGGTAAACACTCTGTCCATTTAGAGAATGCACAGGTCACAGTTAGCATGTACTTGTTCCCTTTGGTTGATCGGTTGACAGGTCCTATCCAGTCGATTTGTAGGTTGGACCAAGGATAATCTGTTCCCCTCCTCTGTAGGGGTGCCCTATGCTGTGAGGTCGTTGGCTGGTACTTACAACACACGAGACAGTTGGACACATGTTTGTGTATGTCTTCCCCCATTTTTGGCCAGTAGGCCACCTGTCGCAGCATCTGTCCCGTATTCACCTCGCATCGGTGGCCGCTGCACGGTTCATTGTGGGCGTGTTGTAACATTATTTCTCGATATTGAGAGGGGACTACCCATCTAGGTCGACCGTCTTTTTCGTTTGTGTATACCAGTAGCCCTTTTCGCATTGAGAACCTTTTGATTTGGCTATGCATGATCTCGAGCTCTTTGTTGTCATTCAAGTTGTCAGTAGTGATTGGTTTTCCTGCTGGATCTTGGATATGATCGGCGAGTGTCTTTAGTGTTTCGTTCTCTTGTTGCATTCTGATCAGGTCTTCGGATGGCTGGGCACTGTTCAATTGGGCTCTGGTTCCAGCTTCTGCCGGGTTCTTCCCACTTCTTGTGACCAGTCTTATCACGGCGATGTCTTGGTTCGTCGACTCTTGTTGTCCGTCTCTGTCGGTTTGGTCTTCTAGCTTCCACGGGGTGCCTTCCAGGCTTCCCACTTTTGCTATGGCATCTGCTTGGTCGTTCCCAGTTTTCTCTTGACCAGGTATCTTGGAGTGCCCTTTGACTTTCTTCCAAAATATCTTCATATCCTTGTTCTGAACCATCTTATCTATGGCCTCGAATAGTTCTCGATGGCGAATTGGTTTATTCCTATGGTTCTTCATCTCGTTTTTTTTCCATATGGGTAGGTGGTGCAGGAAGCTGTGCTGTACGTAGTTGGAATCAGTGCACACCACCATGGTCCGTATTTGGTTATCGGATGCCATCTGGACAGCGATGTGTACCCCGACCAACTCTGCATACTGGTTTGACTTTGGTCCCAGCTGAAATCCCTCTTGAATCCCTGTGAGTGGGCCAGTTTCCCAAATGACTCCTGACCCAGCGTGAAGCTTGTTCTCCTTCATCTTGGAGCATCCATCGATGTATACCACTGGTAGGTCGGCACATGTCTCCTTCCTGAAGGGCAGGTACCTGTTGTCCTCCGGAGGTATCTTTTTGTCCTCTGCTTCTATGCTGTCAAAGGTACAATCATGTAAATCGGCAAGACCTTGGGCCATTGGACTTTTCTTGTTTTTTGCGTATTTCACTGTGATTGGTAGGCCTTGGAGTGTCAGTGCCCAGCTGGCTATTCGGCTGCTGGTTACGCGGCCTTCTCGAATCTTCTTACTGTTGAGGTATGCCAAGGATTCATGATTCGTTTCCAGGATGATCCTCTCTCCGTTCAACAAGTTCCGAAAATGTTGTATGGCCCAGATGTTTCCAAATATCGCCTTCTCACACTCGGAGAACTTCATCTCCACTCCCCGGAGGGCTTTGCTGGCATAGGCAATAACTCGTTTCTCTGCTTCCTGTCTCTGGTACAGTACCGAGCTGATACTATGATCTGAGTATGCGGTCTCCAGGTAGTATTCTTTCCCTTTCTCTGGGTATGCTAGGCAGGATGCCTCTGTGATCTGTCGTTTTAATTCTTTTTCTGCGGCTTCCTGTTCCTGTCCCCACTCCCATGGTTCGTCTTTTTGCAGTAGTTTAACTAAGGGTCGAACGATTCCTGCGTAGTCGTCCACGAACTGTCGAAGGTAGTTGCAAATCCCTAAGAAGCTCCGAAGGGTCGTGACTGTGGTGGGCGATTTGAGTGCGAGGAGGGCTTCAAGTCTTTTGGTTTGGGGTAACATTCCCTCAGTGCCGACCTGGAGCCCGAGGTAGTCCACCCTTTTGCGTGCCCACTGTCCTTTTTGTATTGAAATCTTTGCGCCTGCTTCCTTTAACTGCTCGAGGGTATGCTGGAGGCTCTCGAGGTGTTCTTCCCATGAGGAGTCCTTGACTAGTATGTCGTCGACGTAGACGATGGTGCCTCGCTCTTTTGCGTCGCCCATCGCCTTGTGGAGGAATATGTTGAAGTCTGCAGGTGAGTTCGAGTATCCGAACGGGCAGCGATTCCAAGTATACTGTATTCCGTCGAAGGTGAAGGCCAACTTGTATTGATCGGTTTCTTTTACTGGCATGGTCCAGAAGCCATTTGCTAGGTCCATTGTGGTGAGTATCTTTGCGCCTTTTATTTGGTTGAGACCGTGGTCGATTTCTGCCATTGGCCATTGAGATAGGGGAACCGTTTTGTTGAGTTGCCTATAGTCGATGGTGAGTCGCCACTTGCCTGTGGGTTTCAATACAGGCCAAATCGGTGAGTTGTAGGTTGAGTTGCATTCTCGAATTATATTCTTCTTGAGTAGGTTCTCTAGGGTTTCTTGGATCGACTCATAGGCGGCCAGTGGAATCTTGTATTGTTTCACGTATACCGCTGGTGCTCCCTCCAGTGTGGGAATGGATACCACATGTAGGTCGGTTTTGCCACAATCATAGGAGTCTTTGGAGAATAGGGAGTTGTATTTTTGGAGCAGTTGTCGTAGCTCGTCTCGTTGAGTGTCGCTCTCTAGGGCGTCTGCTGCTTCAATTTGTTGTTCTATTTGTTCTTCTATTGTAAGGACTCTTTTCTCTTGGTTTGGATCTAGGGCCTTCGTGGTTTCGGGCGGCTCGGTTGAAAGTTCCTTTTGCGTTACTATCGGTTGAGTTGCCTTGGCTTCATCCGAGGGTAATACGCTCTTGCCCTTGTGTTCTCCTTCATCAGTTTGCAGTTCGTCGGTTTGGCCTCCAGGGGGCGGTATATACTCCATGAGGGGATGGTCATTCGGTGATACTGACTCTAAGTCGGCTTCCTTTCGGTCTTCTCTCAGTCTGTTAGTCATTAGCTGAGTGATTCGAATTCCTGCGGGGAGCTCGTCTTCGTTCCTGATTGTCGTTGATAGGTCGTCGAGCTCTTGTGTTATCACTTGGATTCCCGTGGAGTCTCTCATAACGTCTTCATCTTCTGAGTCCCTTTGTTGCTCCGGCATTGACTGTGCCCAAATTTGTCGGGATTCAAGGTTCATAATGGGTTTCAGGCGATTCAGTAGTTCGATCCCAATAATCAGTTCTTTTCCTGGGTATTGTACGACATATAGGGGATGGTTCATGTTGATTTTGTTGAACGTCAACTTCGTCATAACTTTGCCCAATGGTCGCATGTGGGTCCCTTCACATCCTGAGTAGGTAAGTTTACTTGGCATCATTTGTAGTGTTTCATTCTTCCTCTGGAGGGCAGTCTGGAGTTCGTCAAATAATTCTCTGGATATCATGGATATTTCTGCTCCAGTATCACAAAGGCCCTGGCTGGTCAGGGTGTCTTGCAGTATTACTTCCACGTGGACTCGTCCGACTGGTCCTACGGGAATCAATTCCCCCAGATGGTACCCTTTTCCCTCTGGTACCACTTCGGTGATTGCTTCGAGGCTTCTTGTCTTCCCTACGTTCACTTGGGCTACCTTTGCTCTGGGTGTGTCCTCCTCCTGTGTGGGTATAGTTGGTAGCTCTTTTTCCATCCTAATGTGGTGAGCATATCGATTCCTGTTAGCTAACGGTGGTCTATGCTCTATTGTTAGTGGAGGCGGCAGTGGGGGACGATATGGTAACTGGTTTGGTGGGCGTCGGCCTCCGCGGGGTATGTATGGCCCGTCACTCGCTCTTCCTCCTCCATAATTCCAGCCTCCGCCCTCTTCTGCATTCCATGGTGGTGGCGGCTGTGGGTGCCAGGTTCCTCTGGCCTCGTTCCTCCCCCCACGTGGAACGTTATTCAGCGTGTTGTGGACGGGTGTTGATTCTATTGGGTTAGGCGCCCTCTCCTGGGGGAATTCATGTCCACCCCGTGTGGCGCTAATATTATTCCTTGGAGATTCACTTCCCTCCAGATCGAGGCATTCTTTATCTCTGGTGACGATGTGGGTTTTGGCTATGCCAGTGGTTTTCCGTCCGTTCACCCAGGCCGTGTGGGCCTTGCTTTCAATCTGGCGTAGGGAGGCAGTCTCGGGGTCCAACATCATTCCTACTATTCTCACTATTTCAGGTCTCAATGATTGGAAGAACATCACTTTTAAGACTGTCTTATCTCCCTGGGCATTGTCCACGTCCCCTGCGTAATATGCTTTCTTAAGGCGTAGGAGATAATCTCGTGGGTCTTCGTCTACACGCTGGGTCATCAACTTTGCCGCGTTCAATCCTTCGGATAGTGTGGAGTATTCCCCAAATCTCTTAACTACTGCTCGGCTCAATTGTTTAAAGTCACTCTTCACCCTATTTGGCAGGGAGGCTACCCATGGTCTGGCGGGTTCATGTAGGCTCCTTGATAATAGACATGCCTTTTCTGTTGATTTACCCAGACCCCGGATCTTAGCCTCCTGTTCTACTGTAGCTATGTGAGTGTGGATATCCCTGTTCTTGTTATGTGGATCGAAATAGGGAATTCTCACGAGTGCTTTGTCCATTAGTTTTAGTGTCTTACTGTTAAAAGTGTGTTGTTCGTCATCAGTGGTGTCGGTTCCTGAGGAGTGCTCCCTTGAGCTACCCTTGTCTCCACTATCACTGTTGTCATGTGTCCCGTGTCTGTGTCGTGATCTCCCTCTGTCCGAGGATTCGTATCTGTCCCGTTGCTTGTGTCTCTTGTTTTCCTTATGTGGGTCTTGTGATTCGTGCTTGTGGGTTGGTGTGCGTGATCTCCTTGAGCGGTGTCTATGTGGTGAGTGTTTTTGTCCTTGACCTTCATGCTGCCTACTACGTGTGTGGTGCCTGCTAGGTGAGGTGTTGTATTTATGTTTGTCTCGTGCTTCATGGTTATCGGGATTCCTGTCTCTGTCATCTGTGGTGCGGGTGGTTTTGCGTGGGTGATTTTTACATGTCATGCGTCCCTCTGGTGAGCTCTCTCTGTTACCCATGTCGTGTTGGTCATCGTCAGAGGAGTCAGTGTCAGATGAGCCGTCACCATCACGGTGGCTCTGCTTAACATAACTTTTGTAGTGCCTTTTGCACCTTTTACGTGGGTCAACTTGGCTCGGTGATTTCTGCTTATCCCATGGCTCATGCTTGTGTGATGTGCGTCTCTCTGGTGAGCTCCTGTTACCCGTGTCGTGTTGGTCATCGTCAGAGGAGTCAGTGTCAGATGAGCCGTCACCATCACGGTGGCTCTGCTCAACATAACTTTTGTAGTGCCTTTTGCACCTGTTACGTGGGTCAACTTGGCTCGGTGATTTCTGCTTATCCCATGGCTCATGCTTGTGTGATGTGCGTCTCTCTGGTGAGCTCCTGTTACCCGTGTCGTGTTGGTCGTGTTTGTGCGAGGTGCGTTTCTCTGGTGAGCTGTCTCTGTCATCTGCATCATGTCGGTCATACTTGCGTAGCGTGCGTCTGCCTGGTGTGCTGTTTATGTCATGTTTCCCGTCTTGCACCAGCTCCGCCCTTTTCCGCTCTATCATTACAGTGTATCCTGATGACTTAGGGTTAATTATTTGTCTCTCTCTAACGTTGGGGTGGTCGGCCTCATGTTTTCCCGTTTGTATTATTATTTCCTCTTCTCTCTCCTCGATTTGCGAGGGTGTTACTTTATCAAAATTGCTTTGCATAGTAGCCATACTCATTGTGGGATCTGGCCCTGGGCTACGTCCACGTGGCTCGGAGTGTGGTAAATTGTTACTCCCGTATGTGTTCTGTGTATCAACGTCTGGGTGTTTCACTGGTGCATTTAGTGCGGATTCTTTCTCTCTCACGAGGGCGTGCAGACGCTCTACCTGCACCATTAAGGACAGTTTCTCTTGTCTCTCCCTTTCAAAATTTTCCTCATTCCATAATCTTTCTCTGTCTGTCTGTGCGAGGAGATACGAGTCTACCCTCGCTATTTCTGCAATTTTTACGTCACGTTTGGCTTTGCCACATTTCATCACGTCCTTAAGTAGTTTCCTTCTATGGGCCTTAACATCTTCTGTATGGCTCCCCTCCCATATATCTCTCTGCTCCGTCTGCTGGCTAGCAGTCCGTCCAGTACGTTTTAACACAAATTCCCGATATTGTTTTTCCATAGATTCCATCTCCTCCTCAGAGGTCCACTCTGTATCAGTGTTATGCGTTGGTGTGTCAAACTCAGAATGTTGTGGATCCTGTGCCATCTCTATTATGTAGTGTGGTTAATAGACTTAAGAGTGTATCTTAATTCTAACATCTCATGTGCGTCGTGAGTTACTCTAGAATTCCCCTTCAGAGCACATATAAACAATTGTATCACAGGATGCGTCAGTTCAACTCGAGCAAATAATCTCAGCCCAGCTGTCTTTGTTATACTCTGCTACTCTGGTACTTCCCTTCAGAGCGCGTTTTGTTTGTATACCCCCGTTTACAATCACAAGGCAACGTTAGTTCACAACACTTTGATTAACACATCAGTGATTCGTTCCCGAATTCATGCATAAACTGTCTGCGAGAGATCCCGGAAGACGAGCCCCCATTATGTTGTATATGTTGGTTATCAAAATTTGTTATGTTGTATGCGTGCGTGGGTGAAATTATTATGTTGTATATGTGGGTTATGAATATTCAGTGAAAATAATAATAATTAAATGAAATTTGGCCAAATGTGTAATTATCCAGGAATATGTTAATTTATGTAATTATTCACATTTTAATTATGCCAATTCGAGAGGTAATCGTATTAATTATGCGAGTGGGTGTAATTATGATAATGCAAGTCGTTATGATAACCAGACCTCGCCTCGGTGATGAGGGTGGGTTATCGATCGGAATAAGGCAATTAATCGTATGCAGTTATGCAGGTGTGGTGTAAGTATGCAAGATTAACTTAGATTAACTCGGCATCGTTGTCTAGGTTCGTCTCATTCTCGCTTTAACATTCCCAGAGTGTGTATTCGTGGTTATATTTTAGGTCCCCGGTTCACCCCGTTATCGCTTTAACATTTACTGAGTATGTATTAGTGTGTTTATTAAGGTCACCAAGTTCAGATCTCAACGCAGAAGTAGATCTTATGCATAGATTTCAGGAAAGAATCACACAACCACTTCTGTATTGATCAATGTATTACTAATTCAACCTTAACTATGATATAGTATGCGAACTCTCAATCCCGGAACGTCAACACGGCATCAATACAGTATCATCAACGATTGTCTGATTTCACTTTGACAACGGCACATGGATCCCGCATAACGCGATGGTTGTTAGTGAGAGAGAGAGTCGTTAAAATATGCAAATACTATGCTAAGAAAACCTTAACGTTAATGAATGATTATACTCAATATTGTTCACGCAGTACCGCACTCCTTATTGATCATACGCAACCCTTATCACGTTGTTAACACCTTGGGTCACGGGACAGTTGAATATTCTGTAGAGGATGCGAGTACGTGCGGCGATTATGACTGAAAGATACTTGAAAGATTATACGGCGATAAAAAAAACACAATCAAAAACAGTTATTATTCTTAAAGGCACCAATCTCAACAGATACATCGGCAGGTTATCTGACAACAGAACGGCTCGGAGTAAGGGCCTGCGACGGTGCTCCTTTTCCGAAGATCGTTATCTTATACCAAGTTTACTAATTGGGGACCAGATCACCTGATAAGGATCCGGTGGGCCACCACTCCCCACGTGAGCGTGGCTCGGCGGAAGGAGGTGCCAAGAATCAGTTCGTATTGATGGATCTGTTGGGAATTTATGCGATTAAGAGTACAGCCCACTAAATATTAAAGATAAAAATTACGAATACTTTATAAACGACGGATGGCCATCACTCGGTCTCGTTGTGATGCCTTCCCAGCCACGGATGGCTTATGGGTTCGAGTGTGTTTGAGTGGTAAGAGTTGTCTTGAATAGTCAGTGTTCGGAGTCGATTCTTTATGTCAAACAGACGCCTGGTGGTCGTGTGGTGAGGGGGCGGTGCGCGTCATACGTATCAGTCGCTCCCCTGTCACCGTGGTGAACTGGTTCGGATGCCCGTTGATACGCTGTCGCAGTTCGGAACCCGGTCGGTAGGTGGCGCCCACAACTCGCTCGCAGCGCGCAGCGCTGGGTCGTCGCCAAACTGCGATGCTCACCACTCCGGCGGCAGCAGAGACCTCCGACTCGGCAGAGGTTGACCCACGCAGGCCGAGTTGAGCTGTCAAGCGGGTCTTGCCCGCCTGCAGAGGAGATGGGGAGCCGCTTGAGTCGAGCCCCGAGAGCCGGCTTTGGCAAGCCGATCGAACTCGGCTGAGTCCCAGACGAGCTGAAGATGAGTCGAGCCGACCCGCTGGTCGCAGCTCGCTCCTGAGCCGACCCTCCCGGTCGAGCTCGCTCCTGAGTCGACCCGCTGGTCGCACTCGCTCCTGAGCCGACCCGCTGGTCGCACTCCTGAGTGAACCCGCTGGTCGCACTAGTTTCCAATGCTCAGGATCCTTTCCTTTATGCCGAAAAATCCCCCTGGATCCCGCCCACAAGGCGGGGCTTCTTCCGATTTTTGCTGTGTCAGGATCTGTCCGTAGGCAGGTGTGTCCATGTGTGTGTCCGTACGTCCGTATGTCCTTGTGTGCATCACTCACGGTATATTCCGTTGTCACACTCCCTCCATAAAACCCACGAGCAAACAATCAGATGTTACAAATTGCCTCGAAGTCGTCTCTCTGTCTGGGTGCAATATTATCTCTTGTCTGGCCTTCTTCATGAACCCAAAACACAGACGTTACAAATCGTCTCATAGGCGTCTTTGTTCGTGTTGCACAACCTGGAGGGAGGGGCAACACTCTCTCCGACCCGGCGCACAAAGAAATGGTTAAAAAGTTTTAAGTTAACATTTGTCCCTTACTATTTCACAGTTATGATTCTGTATGTAACCTAAGGTCTGTCGTTTCCCATCGTGGTGCTTGACTCAAGTGGAGGTGTTTCCCCGAGCGTATACACACTCCTATCCCGCGCTGCGGGGATACAAAGACGGCCGGGATCTCCCTTTCTCTCCGACCCTGGGTTTAACATCGTTTTTTTTTATTATGTATTTATATTCGACCTGGTGGTGATTCATCCCGTTATCCTGGCTTTTCCATAAGTTTTACTTTTGTCTTTTCATGCATATGCTTATTACTATTAATTTATTTCCGATATCTTAGGTTAAGGGGTAAGTTTCTTGATCCTAGGAATTCGTATTCCTTGGTGCCTGCATGGTTATATAAGCGGAATATAGTTTACGGTGAATAGCGTTAACATTGATGTTATGTGCGATATTATGTATTGTGATGTCTTTAACTTAACTTGTTTGTCAGAGCTTTACTGACACGAAGTTGCATTTCATAGCCCCGCAGTCTTTGCCCCACCCTATCTCTGCTCGCCGTGGTTGTTGCCGTCCAGCTGACGCCGTTAATTCAAGGCCTCATTAATTTCCGTCACTCCTTGTAGGTGAGGGCGGTTGAACCTTGGAGTCAGTTCTGGTTTTTGTCTGCCTGCTTCTTCTTGTGTCCCCTGACCCCGGGAGTTATTATTCCTACTTTATGGCCTGTCGAAGCCCGACTCGCTGTTGCTGGCTGGTGTTGTTCCCGGCTTTTTGCTTACGTTTGCAGTTCGCCGTGCTCTTATTTTCCTTCCCTCTTCAACCTTATATCGACTATTCGCTCCTGTCTGGGTGCGATTCAATTTTGACTTAGGAAGGTTCTGATTGTCATATGCTTCGGGTCGAGTTGTATAGAAAGTATTAAAGTATGGAAATAACATTTCATTGACTTAATGATGGTGATGGTTCAGTAGGCGTAACTTGTGGCCTGGTTTAATTGGAGTGGGTGTGAATATCAATAACTTTAGCCTACCCTGTTGTTAAATTCCGACTTTAACGTTACTTTAATAGCAATACAGAATAATTGAGCTTTTTGTCTTAACTAGGCGAACGCGAACTTCTGGTGACCCCCGCAGCCTTGTTGTTCAGCTGGGTCTGCCTCCTTGAGAGATATACACCACTCTTATTTTCGTCTCACTGTGGCCATCCAACCTTCTGCTCTGGGAGTGTTATTCTTAATTTCAGGTCAAAGGCCCCCTCACGTTCAGACGTGCAGGGTTGTTTAAATCAGCTCCCTCCCCTGTGCACGTGTTCCAACTAGCTCGGAATCCCTAAACACACAATCAGTGATGATTCCTGGCTTTCTGTGGTTGTGATTTAGACAAAGGCGCCTCTGCTTTCTTCCATTGCCTTTGAGTCGACACTGCCCTATTATTTGCCCATGTGCTGAGGTCATTGAATTCGTTTTGACTTCAGTAATATTAACATTCAGTATTGGATTAGCAAATGGGCAATGGTTCATTGATGTAGCTCGCAGCCTGGTCTCCAATTTGAGCGAGCGCGAGGATCGATAATTTAGCCTACTCTGTTGTTGAATTTCAAATTTTGACGTTACTTTAAAACCATGCAGGATGGTTGGGCTTTTTGCCTTAACTATGTCTGGCTGACACTCCCACTGTCTCTGCCGCCTGCACGGGTGACATGTGCCCGTTCATCAGGCCTTATCTTTCCTTGAAGCAAGGTTGCAAATTCTGCCATCCTAGCCCTCCTCCAGTTCATTACTTAACAACACCTGGTGTTTTGCAGTTTGCTGCGCTTTGGTGTGTTTCATTCATTAAAAAAACAAGTAAAAAGATAATATATAAAAATATCGTCAAATATTATTAATCTCAATTTTGGAAGAAGGGTTAAGATACAACAATGGGAGGAAGGTAACGGATAAGGGAATAAGGGAGGCACTACTAGGGGAGCTAAGACATGAGGTTAAGGACCCAGAGGTACTGGGAGGGAGGATCCAGATGGAGGAAGTGGAGGAGGCAGTGAGGAGGCAGAATAGGAAAAGGACACCAGGACTGGATGGAATTCCAGCAGAATTCTATATTACATTCTGGGATTTAATGAAAGGGGACATGCTGCAGATGTATAGGGAAATGCTGGAGGGCGGACTGGTGCCAGAAGAAATGTGCGAGGGGCTCATCACGCTGATGTATAAGAAGAAGGGGGACCGGAGAGAGTTGCGAAACTGGCGTCCAGCTCTCGGGGACAATTCCAGTAGAGTCAGGGGTGAGACAGGGGTGCCCGATGTCCGCGGTTCTATTTGTAATGTGTATGGAACCCCTTGCACAGGCAATGAGAAACAATGAGGAGATTAAGGGAGTGACCATCCCCGGGAATAAGGAACAGGGGAAGGTGGCACTATATATGGATGACGTAGTCGTGCTCTGTAGGGACGTGGCATCAGTGTGGGGGGCCATGAAGGAGACAAACCGATTCGGCCTGGCCTCCGGCTTGAAGGTGAACGTGAGAAAGAGTGAATTGATGGCCTTCGGGGACCCGAGACTATTTGAGGGCCGGCCGCCTGAGTTGGGAGTGTCCTTTTTGCCGAGAGAGGTCGGCGGAACGAAACTGGGACGGGAGGATAAAGCAGGTAAAGGGACAGTTAGGCAAGTGGGCCGGGAGACGGCTCACGATGGAAGGGAGGATTCTGGTAGTGAGGGTGGTGGTTTTACCAACACTCAACTACCTCGCATATGTGTACCCGCCAGGTAGAAGGGAGGCAAGAATCCTGGAATCGCTGTTGTTTAGATTCATTTGGGGAGGCGGGATGGATAGAGTGAAGAGGGTGGTGATGTGTAAACGTGTCGAGAATGGGGGGAAGGGCGCCCCAAATATTGCACGTGTGCTGTCCTCAATTTTTGTGTGCAACACCTTGAGGTTATTCTTTTCCGAAGAGCCCCGGGGGAAGGCCGCTTGTTATTTAAGGTATCGCCTGACGTGGCTCCTGAGGGGGCTTGGGATGACCCAATTACTGGCGGGCACGCCCTTGGCCTGGCCACAAGGATGGCTGAATGCGGCGGTGGGTGACTACATAATAGAGTACAATTTGAGTCAGAGAGGGGGACCGTGGAACTCCGAGGAGGTACTGGCCGAAATAAACGAAGGGGAGGCTTGCGAGGGGGTGATGGGCGCAAAGAGGACTATGTACTGCCAAGTGTGGAAGAACATCTCTTCAACGGCACTCACAAAAGAACAGAGAGATCTGTCCTGGTTGGCGGTATGGGATAGATTAGCGACGAGGGGCTTCATGTTTTCCCGCCGAATGGCACATTCGCCCAAATGCCCGAGGGGCTGCAGCACAGACGAGGACGCGGTGCACGTCATGGTGAAGTGTCCCTTCGCACAGGAGGTGTGGAGACTGAGCAGTCTGCTGTTGTCCTGGTTTTACCCGTCGCAGGTGACAAGTCGGGACATTATGTGGGGAGTCTTAAGGGAGGTGCGGGGAGATAACAGAGATCGAACGTGGGCCATAATAGGCGCGACAAAGGAAGCCTTATGGGGAGCCCGCAGAAAAGAGTTGGATGGGTCCCCTATATCACCTTTGGGGGTGTGCTACTGGGCGAGGAGGTTGCTAGAAAGAGTGATCGAAGTAGATCGGGTTAGGCTGGGATACAAAGCTGCAAGTGTGAAGTGGAAATGGCCCCTACCCGGCGTAGAGTAGCGAGGGGACCGGCGGGTATAGGGAAGGGATAGAGAAGGAGGGCCATGCACATGTTAATCGGCCTGCTAAATCATATGGGCGAGGAATGTACGTGTTCGATCCGGGGAAGGCGATGCGATGGAACAGCGCACGGGTGTATGGTGGTAATGAATGTATATAAGGGGCATGGGACGGTGTGCGTTATGGCGGCGAGCTTTTTCTGCTGAATTGTATGTGAGTGGAGCCCGCGGATGTGACGGAAACTCGAAGGGGCCGATCGATGCACCCGGGAAAGAGTGTTTTTCAGTACTCTTTTTGTTTTTTTTTGTACCTACTGAGAAGTTAATAAAACTTTTAAATCGCAATTACCAGCGAAACGTCGTACTGAAATTGTAAATGTTGTGGTTTCACGCTTCAACACACCGGTGGGCTAAAGCAGTGAACTATTTGTCTTTTGTCAACGTGACACTTT